CACCGAAAAAAAATAGCATCACGAAAGTTACCAAAAACTAAAGAAATTGATATACCTGCAAGGGAAGAAAAAAAAAAAAAAAAAAAAAAAGTAAAAGGGAAAATAAAAAATAGAAATCTTTGTAGTAAATTGTAGTCTGTAATTTATGTGTCAGTCGTATATTGTTTTTGATCTTTTTTTTTTTTTCTTTTTGGGAGGGTGCTTTTTTGAATTGGATAGGATCCTGCTGGTAGATTTTGGTCTGTAGTTTGTATGTCTGTCTTGTATTGTTGTATTCGAATTTCTAACTTTTGGAGAGGTACCTACTTTCTGGAGTTATTTTTCAATAAATGCATTGAAGAAAAAAAATCATATATCAGTGATCTTTTTTTTTTTTTTTTTTCTGGATATGAATGAATACATAAGGAACTTTCTTCCAAAACAACACGAATGTTCACTAATTAAAAATGTAAATGACTATCATGCAAAAGCTAAAAAAAATGGGCCATTCAATTAAGGTTTTTCTTATAAACGTTTGTAGCATTGCAAAAAATTTGGTCGAACTCTTCATATTCATGAAAAGTCTAGATGAGGTGTTTGATATTATTGTACTCACTGAAACTTTTATTATACATGACCAAAATCTGTTTAATATTCCAGAATATGATTTTATTTACAATGAGAGTGTGTTAAATAGAAACGATGGTACAGCAGTTTATATTAGGTCAGATATTCGTTACACTTGTAGAATCTGCAATATTGGACTTGCAAGGGGAATTGAACTGAATTTTAGCATAAATGAAGAACAATTTTATTTGACCGCGCTATATAGATCTCATGAAATCAACGACAGAGACTTTATAGAGAGCTTGGATGGATATTTTCAGGAAAAACCAACAAAAAATTGCCACATCATGATCGGAGATCTAAATATTGACATTTCGAAGCAAACCATTATCTCAGATGACTATTTGAACTGTATGTATGCGAATGGCTACTTACCATATATAGATAAAGTAACCAGAACCAGAGGTGAGCAACGTTCTTGTCTGGATCATATATTTATAAAAACAAACAAAAAGCAGCTGAAAATAGAGTCCATTATTTTCGAATTTAACTTAACAGACCATTTTCCGGTAATAGCATTCATACAATCTGAAAAACGACAAAAACGTTGTTCACAGAAATCTCATAGAAGAACGTATATAAACTATACAGATTTGCAGAACAGACTGCAAGCTCCAGAAATGTGGACCAATTTTTATGCCACTCAAAATTTAGAGAGAGCGGCAGAATTGTTGTTGATTGAAATAATAAAAACAACAACTGAACTTTGTACAAAAATAGTCACTTTAAAGGTTAAATCTGATAATAGCTGGATGACAAAACAATTAGTAAATGCTGTATCACAGAAAAATAAAATGTATACACAAATTAAATTACAGCCAAACAACATAGAATTACTCAATAAATATAAAATACACAAAAATAATTTAACCAATGAGATAAATGAAGCTAAAAAACAATATTATGAAAAACAAGTAAAAAGTGCGTAAAATTCATCACAAAAACTCTGGAAAATGACCAATAACATCACAGACAATAACAAAAAAACAGAGCTAGATTTAAAACAAATAGCAATAGATAACAATACAATGATAACAGATACTAAGGATATTGTGGAGACTTTCAACAAACACTACTCTGAACTTGGAGAAATTTACTGCAAAAAGAATAAAACCCCCCGAAACGATACCTGTGGAACCTCCACCAAGCCCAAACTCAATTTTTTTAACTCCCACCACTCCCACAGAAATTGAAAACCTTATAAAAAAACTAAAACAAAAAAAAGCGCCGGGGCATGATCAAATTAGATCAGAGTGTTTGAGGAATATATCCACAGTAATATGCCCCCATCTATCTTTTTTGATGAATAAATGTTTCTCAAATGGCTATTTTCCTAAAGTCCTAAAGATTGGGATTATCAAACCAATTTATAAGGGAGGTGATAGAAAACAAATAATAAATTATAGATCTATAACCCTAATTTCATCTGTAGCGAAGTTCTTCGAAATGTCAATGAAGCAACGCTTGGTTGGTTTTCTTGAAAAATATAAATTACTGTCAGAGAAGCAATTTGGTTTTAGGGCTGGAAAATCGACTGAGGATGCAATAGTGAATCTGACAAAACAAATAAATAATGCTTTAGACAATAAAAAACCTTCACTTTGCATCTTCGTCGATCTAGCAAAAGCGTTTGATACGGTGGATCACGGGAGGCGAGGTCAGGAAACTGGAAAGGATTGGTTTGAGGGGACCGACCGTGTCTTCAGCTTCTGAAAAGTTATTTAGAAGATCGATTTCAAACTGTACACATTGGAGATACATTTAGCACTATGAAAGCTGTTAAATATGGCGTACCACAAGGGACGTTCCTTGGTCCACTTTTGTTTATCGTTTACATGGACGACTTGTTTTCAGTAAAAACCAGAGGTAACCTGGCAAGTTTCGCGGATGATACTGTGGAATTTTTCATTGCAGATACGTGGCTGGAAGTGAAACGGATCGCTGAACAGGATTTCAGGGAAATACAGAATTGGTTCGATCATAATTCTCTGACAGTTAATATAGACAAAACACATTACTTACCTTTTTCATCACACCGGCGTATACAAGGGGGGGTAATGGGGGTAATTACCCCCCCCCCCCCCCAAGATCGTTGCGATGGACAAAAAATATGTCCCTACACCTTACAAATATATCTATTTTTTATATTTTAACTTTTCAGCAACTGGCCCTAACTGGTTCTCTAGTTTGCACAATGTCCGCATTGCCTGCATGCTATTTATAGCGAATTCTATTCAAAGGGATAGTGCACACTGAGTGTATTCGTGTCTTTCTCTACTAGCTTGCATAAGAAAGAGATAAATACATTTTTTGTATTAATTCTACCAATAGAATTCGCTATAATTAAAAAGTTTCACGGGAATCCCATAGCGAATTCCATTGGTAAAATCAGTGCAAAAAAAAATTAATTTTATTTATTTTCTTATACAAGCTGGTAGAATAAGACACGAATAGTGCGCACTAACCCTTCTAATGGAATTCGCTATCAGAGTTCGGTTTTGTGTTTCGTTATTTGTCGGTAGGAAAGAATATATTTACCTAACAAATGCGGAAAATACATTTTTCCAGCGGAATTCGGTGAAGCGGCCGAGTGCAGAAAACAGATATTCTGCGTGTGTTAGGTACAATCATTTTTCTACAGACGTGCGGAAATAAGTACATACATACATAATACCTTAGATGGAATGTACATGTTAATATCCTCGTCAAAAAGCTTAGATATCTGGTGTCTAGGTTCAAATGTTTCAAAAAATATTTTAATATGTCAGATTTACGAATATTGTATTTCGCACTACACTGTAGTTCAATCGCACTTGACATATGGCCTCTGTGGGTGGGGTGGTGTGAATGATTTTCATATCTCAAAACTAAATACTTTGCAAAAACTGATTCTTAAAGTAGTCCTTAATAAAAATAGGAGATATCCTATAGAAAAACTTTTTAGTGAAAGCGGATTTTTGAATATTAGACAGTTATTGTGTGAAAAGATAGCTTTAAAAATCTTCAACAATAAAGAAAGGATAGAGGTCATGAGTCATCCACACCGAACAAGAAATGTTTCTAGAAAGATATCTAGGCTTCCTAGAGCCAAGAAAAGAATAGGCACTAGGCATATTGGCTATATGGCTCCTAGATTATATAACTTGATGCCAGATTCTATAAAGTCACAACGTAAAATCATTAAATTTAAGAAAGAACTAAAAAAATGGATAAAAAGTGCTAGTGAACTCGTAGACAATGTTATGCAGTGATCAAAATGATGTGAAAGTGTATTCTCGAATGTGACCTACTAACCCTGAAATGACTAAATTTAAACCTGGATATGACTTTTTACTCGATCTGGAAAATCAACCCAAAATGGACAAATTTTCTAAACAAGCAAACTTGATTTGCAAACCTCACAACAAGTGTTCTACACTTCAAACGTGAGCCTGTTTATTATCATGTATTTTTATAATTGTTTTGTATACTTATTGTATTTTTCGGAACGATAATAAACATTATTTATTATTATTATTATTAGATACTTATAATAAACATTAAAACTAAACTTAAAAAATAAACTAAAAATAGATAGGTAGGAAAAAGAAATAAAAATAGTTTCCCGGTGAAGGGCAAATCTTGACCACAGGTCGTTGCATAACACCTTTGGTGGTTTTCAGAGTAACGACTCTAATGATATCCTGTCCTGGATGTATAAAGATAACTCGACCCATCTCCCAATGCAGTGGGTGGAGTTGCTCATTTTTTATTAGAACAAGGGCTCCTAGCTTGATAGGGGGAGACTGAGCCAACCACTTATGTCTTTCTTGCAAAAGCCCTTTCGAGAGTTTCCTGAACAATATGTGCGTTGCAGTTTTTTGGATTAACTCTTGGATTAACAATTGAAATTTTCTGGGTAAATTTTATGCTAAATATACTTTATATGTAATAGATACCTAGGTATTCAAAAGGTTTTTTATAAGTTTACAATAAAACAAAAAAATTACGGTTTTAATCGCTAAGAAGTTTTAAGAGTCTTTTAGGTTTGTGCAGAACGCGAATTAAGAATGCGATTTTATCAGTAATTTTTTGGTACCTTTTAACTGGTTCACGCGTTGACCGATAATGATTTTTATCGTACGTTTCAATGGTGTCTTCTCCTTTTGCTTCATGAAGACCTGGAAGGGGCAAACAGTGTTCTCGCGCATAAATACTTAAAATAGCTTTAAATTTAGAAAAATTCGGATTTTTGCTTTACCTTGAATTCTCTATTATACTTAATTATAATTTTACCCTATTTAATCTTGAAAACATTTTAAAACATTTCTTGAAAGACCTAACCTATTTTTTTAGAAAACATGAAAAGTTTTAATTATTAGCAAATTATAATTTGAAATACATATACGTGTTATTCACTTGTCCAAATATGTATTAAGTTTTATATTTATGATTTCTGCTTTCTGTCTTATGTCGTTCAATGCTAAATCACGTTCAATAACATCACACATTTCTGTTTCAACTTCAGAATCCATATTATTTTCTGCAATGTCCATGTGAACCTCTTGCTGCACAGCATTTTTACTTTCCACTTCATCCAACACACTTATTAAGTCGTTGATGATAACATTTTCTTCATAATTTGTACTAGGAGCAAGAAAGTCTTCATGTGACTCCAATCCTGCAGAATTAGGAGGAGAAATGTATTCGTAGCGCTCATCATCTGATTCCACATCCACATTTTTACTTTCCACTTGGTCCAACACATTTATTAAGTCGTTGATGATAACATTTTCTTCATAATTTGTATTAGGAGCAAGAAAGTCTTCATGTGATCCCAATCTTGCAGAATTAGGAGGAGAAATGTATTCGTAGCGCTCATCATCTGATTCCACATCCACATTTTTACTTTCCACTTGGTCCAACACATTTATTAAGTCGTTGATGATAACATTTTCTTCATAATTTGTACTAGGAGCAAGAAAGTCTTCATGTGACTCCAATCCTGCAGAATTAGGAGGAGAAATGTATTCGTAGCGCTCATCATCTGATTCCACATCCACATTTTTACTTTCCACTTGGTCCAACACATTCATTAAGTCGTTGATGATAACATTTTCTTCATAATTTGTATTAGGAGCAAGAAAGTCTTCATGTGATCCCAATCTTGCAGAATTAGGAGGAGAAATGTATTCGTAGCGCTCATCATCTGATTCCACATCCACATTTTTACTTTCCACTTGGTCCAACACATTTATTAAGTCGTTGATGATAACATTTTCTTTAAAATTTGTACTAGGAGCAAGAAAGTCTTCATGTAAGGAAGATTTTTTTTTATTATTTGAATGATACTTAATTATTTTAACACTAGCATTTTTAGCCATAATAACTTGCTCAATTGAGTTTATTTCAGGTGCAACAAGATTTTTTAAAATTTTAGCTTTGGGTTTCCCCATACATAGCTTTTACAAAACACGAATAATTGTAAACTAACTGAAATATGTACAAAATCTCTTTTTATAATAGGTTTTTTGAATTAATTAAAGCATTCATTCCCTAATTGTTTAAACATAAAACGCAATCCGCATCTTTACACACATCTGCAAATTATTGTTTTAGCATGCAATTTCACTACATTTTAATCATCTGTGCTTGCAAATGATTTACCGGTTTTTACCATATGTTTATATTAATTTACTAGACCATATCATCGGAACAAATGTCTCTCGTCTGAAATTTGTATGAGTCACCCAATACATTCTACTAGGTATGTAAAAAACAAATTTTCAAGCAAATATAATTTAATTTTAAAACTTTGTTACAAAAATAACATTCCTGTTGAGAAGAAGCCGGACCGTCGCGTCGATTTGAGTTCTCCAATCTGGTCGATTATAGTGGAAAAAACATGGAAGTCGAATTTGTAGAGAAAAATCAGATTTGTAGTCGGGTGGTAGTTTACTCCATATTTCCAGTAGTTCGAAAGGGTTGGCATTCTTAATCAAGTAGTCCAAAGGTAACAAGTTTAATGCTTCGCTGGTAAAGTCTGTAAATTGCTTTTCGCCATTAATATGAGATAGCAACACATTTACACATTGGCAGCCAGACATTTTACAGAACTTTTTTCGGGTTTTTGAAATTTGCAACTTTTCTCGCTTTTTTATTACTTTTTTTTGCTATAACCTCAAGCCAAGGATGATCAAATGAAACTATTCTCTATCGATACCAATTAAATATATCTAAGAGAATATTTTTGTGGGAGCAGACTGTCGAGTGAGGATACTAAATATCTTCATCGTTTTTTCTTAGATCCCTCCACCACATATTGATTCTATATTTAAGCAATCCTAATAGCGTTAGTGAACATTACGTTTCTAACAGTTGTCTGAATATTATCTCAAAATGCAAGCTACTTATAATACTCAAATGGAGAAAAACGATACAAGATACGATACATTCGACTTCAACATTCAGTTTAAAAAGAGAACGGGAATTTTGATAAGTGAAACAAAATATTTTCTAAATAAATCCAAAAGCAAATGGATCAGTGTTGGTTTTTCGTTGGAGAGGAAATATGAAGTAATCACAACTTCATATTTGGGTGGAATTAAAAATAATCAGCACGTTATATTTAATGAAGACCAATGGATATCTTTTTTAAACAATCAAGGAATCATGCTAAGTTTTGTTTACTCTAACAAAACCGGATGGCAAGTCATGCGTGGGAACGGTTTTCAAATTCACTTCGTCTATATGGGAGCTGCAAGAATTGTCAAGATAAGTCAAGATGGTGGCAATGAAGTGTTTTTGGCAGCTGAAACTATAAGTGAACTCTCGAACTTGGTGAATTTAGTTAAATATCGCTATGATATGTTAAAATTTCAAGAATTTTCTAAATATTACAATATTTTAGTGAGTGATGTCTCATTGAAATCTGGAGATATGATGAATAATTTGTATGAAATTATTTTACCCTAAAAAAATCCCAATAGTGCAAATATTTGTTGCATGTTGGAATTATTGAATTTCTATTCTGATTGCATTATTGAGGATGTAGAATCTTTTGCTTGCAATGAATTTGTAAATAGCTGTATTGGAAAATAAAGTTTGACTTGAATAATGTCTTTTCATCCTCCCACCAATAAGTAAATGGTATTTAAGATCTCAACATTTTTCTGTGAGCTTCAGTGTCTATTAAACAAGTCAAGATGTGGTTAGCTTACGTAGAGTACAAATCAGCATAAAACTTAGTATCTGCTGTTGAAAATTTGGCGCAACATATAAGAAATTTACAATTTGATGCAGCAGTATATGGAATGGATCGATTTAACAATGAAGAAGAATGTACGAAAATTGCCAAAAACTATAAAAAAGGTGTAAAAGCTTGCAATTTATATTCGCACATCTCGAATCTTACCAGTTTTCTAGAGACAATCAAAGAACTAGGACACAATTCCTGGAATAAGTGGAAAAATTCGCACTAAATAATATATTTAAACAAACGCTTGAAAATTAATTTCAATAAAATATAAAATGTTCATTGGAAAAATCGTTTTATTCAACCATTAAATAGTTATTAAAAAATGGTATACGTTAGTTAAAGCACAAATACATTTCAAACTTGAATGATAAAAACATTGGGGTTCCTTAGGTTGTATTGTCATGAGATTTTTTTCAAGTTCTATAACGGGTTTCGTTGAATATTTTTTTATGTATTTAGCTTTCTCCGCTCCCTTGACATACACTGTATCAACTTTTTCAGTTAAATTTTTGACTAAGTTAGAGGATTTTATGGGAAAACACAAGTGTTTCGCCAAAGCTCCAACACACTGTTAATTACTCATACTATGAGTTTTGTATTGCTCTGACACGGTCAGATGTGGTTTTGCTTTGTAAGACAATGGAGAAAACTGAATTCTCTTTCATTGGGTACTATCGCTAATTGCAGACCGGTTTCGGACTTGTTATGTCCTCGTCAGTGCAATATAAGCGGTAAGCACATCAACTGAGAGAAACAGTTTTGCAGGAGATTCAAACGCTAGACAAGATGTCGATCTTTAATAGCGTGTGGCTCCCTCTCGTAGAAGTCAAACAAAGCAATAACCGAGAACAGCCCAATTTGGGTGTAGAATAAAATCAGATTTTCGAAAATAAATTTTTCGAAAATAGAAAAATTCTTGACAGTGTGGCGAACCAAGTTAGAGGATTTCATGGGAGAACACAAGTGTTTCGCCAAAGCTCCAACACACTGTTAATTACTCATACTATGAGTTTTGTATTGCTCTGACACGGTCAGGGATTAAGAATCTGATTTTATTCTACACCCAAATTGGGCTGTTCTCGGTGATTGCTTTGTTTCACTTCTACGACAGGGAGCCACACGCTATTAAAGATCGACATCTTGTCTAGCGTTTGAATCTCCTGCAAAACTGTTTCTCTCAGTTGGTGTGCTTACCGCTTATATTGCACTGACGAGGACATATCAAGTCCGAAACCGGTCTGCAATTAGCGATAGTACCCAATGAAAGAAAATTCAGTTTTCTTCATTGTCTTACAAAGCAAAACCACCAAGTATTGCGTAAATTTGACCGTGTCAGAGCAATACAAAACTCATATTATGAGTAATTAACAGTGTGTTGGAGCTTTGGCGAAACACTTGTGTTCTCCCATAAAATCCTCTAACTTGGTTCGCCACACTGTCAAGAATTTTTCTATTTTCGAAAAATTTATTTTCGAAAATCTGAAATTTTTGACTATTTCGGAAAATTTATAAACTTGTGTAAATCCTTGTTCCCATTGGATACAGTGGTGATTTTTCATTAGCCATTTAGCTTGCTTCACTAAGGGCCGGTATTATAAAACACTGAACCGATGGTTGAGTTTCAACCTTCGGTTAAATCCTATCAATTTGCATGGAGTCAACCGAAGGTTGAAACTCAACCATCGGTTCAGTGTTTTATAATACCGGCCATAAGTCTGGTGGCAAATATCCAATACTTAGACAAGAAAAGAGAGAGGACTGGTAATCCGTCAAGCCTGCGTGTTACCGGCTGGCCCAAGACCATTTAGGCCAGTGGCGTATCACAAAATCATCCGTAGTTAAAACGGTAAATGTCTAAATGGTTGATCACCACGCCAAAATTTACGATTTTTTCAGGATATACGTATTTTGGGGCGTAAGTTAGGAAATAATCAGTTTATTCGCTCTTAATTAGTTTTTAGGACTTTTTTAAATTAAAATCGAGTATTTAAATGGTCTACGCCACTGGTAGATTCAAAGGATTTGACAGATCGAATTAACAAAATTATTGATTTTTCAATCGAAACATTTAAAATAGGGAATTATATTTAGGCCCGTAATTTGCTTACACACAGTATAATATGATACTTATAGGGCATTTATAAAATCTGTCCCCAAATATAAAAAAAGCGCCTGTATAATGATGGTTTTATTATGCATTGTTTATTAATTACCTGTGAAAGGATACTCCCGGGTCCTTTTACTCGCTACGACTTTTACACTGAAAAGCACAACAATTCACCATGTCTATTAGCACAAAATTTAGTCAAATATTAAAACTTTTTAGTCACAAAATCACAAAATATCAACACTGCCACAGAAGCTTGTTTGCCACAAATAGAATGGCGGCCGGTTAATTGATGTAACAAAAGCCTAGCATTGCGTTAAACCAGTGCGCGGTATCCTCTCCCCTCCCTAATCTAAGATCCAATAGCATAAGGTGACTTGAAGACATAATGGCATACCCTTTTGCCATCAAAAGCTGCCAGTTCTTTGGGAATAAATTTGTTGTTTTCTGCTTTGAACCCTTGGACATCCACTACTAATTGGATCATATTTTCATGTGTGAAATTTTTTTAAACATGTATCTCTTTTCAGTATAATTTTTATTTGTAGCTTAAGCAATTTTAAATTCTCTTGGAAATCAATTAAACGTTGTTCGAGTTCTGCCGACATACTGATCAGAAATATAATGCTGCTTCCATTTTATATTTTATTTCACTGGTTTCATGCTTGTTTTCGCTGATTTTGAGCTGGTTGTTACTGGTTTGGTGCTAGTTTGATGCTGGTTTTCGCTGGTTTGGTGCTGGTTGTAACTGGTTTGGTGCTGGTTTTCGCTGATTTGATGCTGGTTGTGAGTGGTTTGGTGCTGGTTTTCGCTGGTTTGGTGCTGGTTGGTTTAACTTTGGATTCTACTATAACACGAACTCAAGAAGATATCAATGAGTGGTTTGCGTAATTTAGGAGTTAAATTTCGCAAACCGTTCATTGATATCGTTTTTAGTTCGCGCAATATTGGAATTTGAGGTTCAGCTAAAAATTCGCTTGTTCCGTTTCATTTGTCCAGCAGTATATATTTATATCCTTTTAAATCAAATAAACCATAATACTAGTACCTACCTACCTTGAGGCTTGTGAAAAAAAGTGAAGTTTTTTCCA